CAGAGCTGGACGCGTTTGCCTTGGTTGTATTCACCAGCCACCATTGGAGGTGGTAGTCTGGTAGGTGGCATTGGTTGCCACCCTTTCTCAGACAGCCGTGACATGGAGACAGGAGACCCATGCTTTAGGATCACTTACGTATATTGCCTAAAGAAGTGACCATTTCAGTCACCGTTCCGTGCTTTTATCCTCAGGATACTGAAATCCTTCTCCTCCACGCCGCAACCCCTCTCCGGGCTGGACAGGCAACTTTATCTCATGCGGGCTGCTCCCTTGGAGCGGCACCGCTGCTCCCGAGGGAGCGCACCCCGTAGCCGGGTGCAGTGAGTGCCTTGGGGCTGGGTGGCCTGTCCTCTGGACGGGCTCAGCCCCGGCGACTCACTAGGGTGCCTGCCCAGACCAATGTCTCCCCCTTTATCCTATCATCCTCCCGGCTCTGAAATGGTCCCATTGGACCGAAAGGGCCTAACCCAACAAAACAAAAAGAAAACAAACAAAACCATTTCAGAGCCGAACGATGATAACAGGGACGTAGCAAGGGGGGCACGGGGGCCATGGCTCCCTCCCCTTGTAGGCAAAAAATGATACAAAATTAAATAAAAGATAATAAATAAAAACAGCTGCACCACACATCCAAAAATAGTGGGCCGAATCCGAGAAGCTTTCCTTTTTTGGAGGGGTACGACACTAGGCCGCGACCTGTGGCCCCTCCCTAAGCAAAATACTGGCTTCGTGCCTGGATGATAAAGCCAAGAGCGACATCACAAAGAAACGTTACCGATCAGTGGGTGACCGCGGCTCAGCCGTGTCCCGAGGACGAGGGCGAGCCTCTAAATACAGGCAATCTATTTTTAGGTGGGATCTTATACGTGGGCATGCCTACTTGCATTTAATTCTGAAAGAGAAAAGTTTTAAAATAACAATTTTTTTTTTCAGATCAAATTTAATCTCACTGTAAGAAACGGTGTTGACTATTAATCGATGAATGTCGCCCCATTCATACGCAAAACATTTGGTCATTTCACTATATACCCGCATGCACCGCAGCAAAACGACAAACGAGCACAGACCAATGGTCAACCAACTTGCATGCAGCATCTCTAAACATCACGGAACGAAACACCCACACGCAAAAATACACGAACATAGCTATGGAATAATAACAATATAACCAGTAAAACGCCTTTTGGGCGAAGAACGAGCGAGCGAGATAGTGAGCCCTGCACGTGCGGAAGGGCGAGAGGGTGCTTCCAACGGGCTTGCGCAAAGCACCCTTCTAACTGGTCGCTAGCGGTGTGCCAAATTTGAACGCAATCGGCCCAGCCGTTCCTGAGATCTGGAAGCGGCATTCTGCACGTGCGCACGTGCAAACGGGGTCCAAAATGACTTTTGCACGGCACCCTACTAACTGGTCCCCAACCGTGTACCAAATTTGAGCGCAATCGGCCCAGCCGTTCTCGAGATCTGGAAACGCCCCCTGCACGTGCGCACGTGCAGTACCACCCTAATCGCAACACATGGGAATGCATTGCCTGGTGGGTGCCTACCTGTATGCCAAGTTTCAGCGAAATCGCCCCAGTAATTACCGAGTTACTGAAATGGGAACAAATTTGGCACCTCTTATTGTTGTATTTTGCACGTGCACTGGGGGTGACCCACATGCATCGAGACTATCCTATTTTGGGTAGAAGGGATGCTGCTACCCTACAAAAATTACCGCAAGTCAATCGCCCAAGCGGCTGCTGAGATATGAGCCTCTCAAAATCACTAATTTTGCAAAACAGCTTGAACACCCTTGACTTTTCACGTGGCACGTGCCACGACGGTCACTGAGATGTATCAAAAGTAGTCAATTACGGGGTAGAAGGGATGGGGCTACCCAACAAAAAAGACCGCAGGCCAATCGGTCCAGCGGTTGCTGAGATATAAGCCTCTCAAAAGCGTTACAGGCCGGGCCGGGCCGGGCCGGGCCGCTCATACTGAGATTTTTCCGTTATATTGAAAAGACTCACTTCGCTCGCTGCGCTCGCTCGCTCGTAATAAATGTCTGATAAATTTGCAAATTAACGCACGATCGATGCTCGCTCACCATGCATTTGGCATGAGTAATAAATTAAAGTTGTACTCTTTCCTCCGACTAATATCCTATCTAAAGCTCAGCAGCGAAAAGCCAGCACACCGCGCTGGCTCATCCCGGTTTATCAACGCAGGAGAACGTCGCCTCACAGCGTCCTCCCGTCCTGGCCTCCAGGACGGCGGCCAGCTTCTCCCACAGAGAGACCTCCGCCGTGGGGATCAGGGACGTCCCGACACTGTGAAAGGGGTCTCTGGTCAGTACGGGAACGGGGTCAAACATTAAACAATGCCATCAGCGAGAGATTACATTTTTTTGTCAGCCAATTGAAATATTCTTTTCTTCATCCAAAATTATCTCGTGAGAAAATACTTTAATTATTTGGTGTACCTATTCGAGACCGAGTATCGAACGGCTACGTAATAGTCAGCGCCATGTCCGATATCTTGAATAAACGCTATTTACATGCATACGAGTCATTTGGTATTCCCAGAAACAGCCAAGCGATCAATTGCATAAATTATTGGACTTTTCGCTCTAAACAGCTATTTGTTTTTTAGATTGTTCGGCGTCCGCGCGATATAGGGATCATGCTGCGCCGCAATCACGCGTGTAGTGCGGAACAGTCTACCAGGAAAGAGACGTTAGTTCCTGGAGCATTAACTGACCGCTCGTAGGTATATGTGCCTACCATATATCAAGGGCGCCCTTTAAAAGCACCTACATATATTTCCGACATTTTGAATACCTTGATTTATTATTAATCCATTTCCTACTTCAAAATGCATTAATTACCTAAGCATACAATTACCCACTATGCAACCAATGCCCTTCGCCCCTCCCCCCCCCCCCCCTCTCGACACAAACATCGGTCTTTTTGTATCGGTTCCGTTTACCGTCTCTCACCTGACGAGGTTATAGATGAGTCCTTTGTAGACCTCCTGCTGCTGCGCTCGGCTGTTGAGCTGACAGAGCCGGCGGGCCACGCAGCCTGACCTCTCCAGCACCAGCAGCCGGGAGGTGCTCAGCAGCGCCTCGGCTGCCAGCTCGGGCACCTCGTCCACGCTGCCCAGCAGGAAGGTCAGCTCGGACCAGAGTCCGACCTCTGCGGCACCTCCGTCTCTGCGGCCTCCGGTGCCGCCGCCCGTACCCGTGCCGCCGCCACCGATCGCCTGCTGTACCAGCAGTAACAGGAACGTGCCGAACGCTAGGAAACTGAGCCCCGTGAGCAGCATCCCGAAACTGGGGAGCAGCATGCCGCCGCCGCCCCCGTAGCCCATGGACGACCTGGCTGTCGCCGCGAGCAGACGGTTAGCCGGCCGCGCTAGGGACCGGGGCACGAGCGAGGGCGCCGCAGGGCCGGGCACGGTCAGCGCAGCGAGCATCATTGTCCTCCACAGACGCCGGGATGGAAACTTGGAGGACCTAGAGGTGATTGCCATAGCTCGCAGCACTGTCACAAGTCAACAAGTCGACTGGCAAGATATGTGCACTTCCATGCGCGCTTACACTTCAACGCATACGAAAGACCAACTCGCACTTCTTCAATTGAAGCACACACAAGAAACACCCGCTGGGCGGCATGCACAAATCTGACGCGATTGAGCCATGTGCGGCGCGTCCGGGACGGCTGCGGCGCACGTCCGTCCCGGCCGTATAGTGCAGGTGAAGTCTCACTCAGGAGCGCACAATTGACAACCGTTCTGGTACGGTGGTGACGAGGCGGAGCATTGGCGGCGGTGGCAGCGGCAACAACAGGAACGGCGAATGGGCGCACGGCGAACCCAGTCGACCGGGAGTCCCGGTGATGTGATGGCGGTGATGGCGGTGAAGATCCTCAACTGTGACCGGGTAACGGATGGGCGCAGCGACCACAAGTGGTTGATGCTTGCGTGAAGGCTATATGTAGTGGCAGACGGTTGGAAACTCACGTGAGGAAGGTCTCCCATGCGTGCTGGTTTGGAAATTCCAGTGCAAAGAACTTAAAACACAGCTCGGCGCTCGCCCATCGCTCATAGTAGTTTCACGGCTTGTTGCGGGTCAAAATGTTTCATTTTAATTGGTAAGCTTTCAATTGGTCCACTTTCAAACATTCATCAAAATTCGATCATCAGCATAATCTATCAATTTGTGCGCACACCAGTAGCCGATATTAGCTACGAATGTCGTGCCGTCTTTATAATGCAATGACATATATGTCATTGCCCACCCACCTATATGTGTACACACGCATGTGTGTATAAATAAATGTATGCGTGGGAATGGCGCGATCTGTTGTTTACCGTTTTGTACGCTATACCGCGCCATTCGCAAATGTCCCACAGTCGACTGCAAGCCCACCGTCTATGCGTCGTGCATACTTGGTGCATATGCCGCCTACACATCGTGCCTATAGCTTCAGCAATGTCTTATGGCACATACCGGCCCGGCAGAACGGTCCTCACTGTTAGGCGCTTACGCCAACGACTTCAGAATACCTCACCGCGACGACACGCTACGTTAATTATGGGACATTAGCCAGCATGACACTGGTTCGCTACGCACCGTCCTCGCTCGGGGAATTACGCCAAATTACGGCTGAAAAATGGGGCAAAATGAGCATCACAACAAACTCGAGCCCTCCTTCGCTATATGGTGTTCCACTCACAGCAGTGTGCTATCATTCCTTATTGCAGTTCGTGATATGGATTCATTGGACAAATAAAATAATGCAGTCAATAACATCAGAGCTAATGACGTCTTTTCTATCGTTCCATTTTCCTCTCAACAGTCTCAGCCATCATATTCGCATCACGCACGCCCTTGTATGAATGGCATGCGTTTCGTCTCGCTCCAGTTTTGTCAAAAGCCATGAAAATTATTGCTGCACTTTTAACGTGTTATGTGAGTCGGCTCTCCGTAATGCACAATAAATAAAGACGTCAAATAATAAACGACGTTTATTATATGAACATGCTAGGCCTGTTCTTTCATATAAGCGCATGATCGAACCATTGAAAGAAAGAGAAACATAATAAATTAACATACACTTAATTGAATCATATGTCCCAATGCGTAAAACATTCAACAAGTTAAACACTGTTCAATACACTATTAAAGAGACACGGCACTACCCTCTGCGCTATTTTTATCGTGGCGTTAAATTCACGCTCAGATAACATAAATACTTGAACGAATTATAAAGACCCTAGGAATTAAGCGATCTGATAATTGCAAAAACATTTAACAACATAAAAAGGAGCGTAGTGAATCTATGTCCCGCCATCCCAACTCTACTGTCACAGAGCCGTCTCGTTACATGGATTTGGAGCCACTACCCGAATGTACTCCACGAAAAATATGAAGCTAGCCTGTTGACCTAGTCCGTCTCGTCTCCATTTGTCTCTCCATCTGCAGAGCAAGACGTGCAACGACCATGAATCTAATCTGCAAACAGTAGTCGGAACAAATGCCTTGCAAACAGACAGTCACGGTAAATAGCTCGGTCTGGCCTCAGAGTGCAACAATAACTCCAGACGAGAAACTCAGACGATTTAAATGACCCTGTTTTTGCAGCGACTGTCGACGGCCCACAGCCAGCCCGTGACCCGGGCCCGCAGTTGGATTTGTAATGCCACTAAACATAGATTATATGGTGTCGTTTACACTGAATCAGCTGACGACCAGTTTGTGCAGGCCCGCGCGACTAGATGATCTCTGCCACCTGACCTTGACCTGACCTCAGGTCGGGTCAGCTGAGCAGCTTTCTGCGGCACGAGACCAGCACGAGAGGTCGCTGCTGTCGTCCGTTGCGTCCCATAGCGAAGCTCCCAGACTCAGGAGGTTCCAGACGGGTGCATCGCTCATGGCTGACTGAACCGCCCTGTAAAACGGTAAAATAAGCTGAACAGGGTCTACGTAATTTAGCGATGGAAAACCGCTAAAGCATATGTAAACAAGCTTTCCAAACAAATATCTTTTGTTCCCAGTATTGTATAGGGCAGGCTAACACCGAAAATGATAACATTGATAACGACACAAAATTTGTTTATTATTAAAACTTAAATACCTCATTGTTAAAATTTATAAATGCTTGCAGTACATATATGAATGCCCTATCACATAAAGTTACATAATAACATTTAGCAATAATTCTTTGAAACGCTAATTTTAAATTGAAGTGCCCCATTATACGGTTAGTTAACAATCTCCGGGGGTACTCACAGTACGGCGATGGCGGCGGCGATATCGGCTGGGCTGTCGACCCTGGCCCTCAGCTCGTGACACAGCGCCAGCGGGCGGCAGGTCAGGTCATCGGGCAGGGCGGCGACGGAGCCGGACAGCGAGCGGTAGGTGCCCAACAGGTGACCCACGGTGCTGGAGCCGGAGGGACAGGTCTGGTGGCTAATCTCGTCAGCAACCTCTTCACCACTTCCTTCAGCAAGGTGGTCAGCGTCTTCAGAAGCGTTTGCTTCGCTTTGGTCAAGATATTTGGTGGTGATGTTGGTGGCATGTTCTTGCTGCTGTCTGCTGGCTCCTTCAGCGTCATCAGTCAGGCCGTCTGTACAGCGTTCCGTCAGGATCTCTAGCTCGCGGAGCAGTCTGGATCCTGCGCCCGCCACCTGACCTCCTCCCTCCTGGGTCAGCGCGTCCACCACCCAGAGGTTTGCGGTGGTGTTACCAAGCACCTCTCCAAGGGCCACGGCACGCTCCGCCGCGAACAGCGCGAACGGAAGAACAACGAGCGCCGAGAGAAGGCCGTCCACCACCGACGACCTGCCGGTACCGGCGGGCAGACCGGCTCGGTCCTGGAGGATCGTCGAGTCCGGCTCACCCCAGTCCGTGTATTGCAGCACCTGACCTCTCTCATCAGCTCTGGTCCTATCCCAGCGCTCATCGCGCCTCAGAACACTTGGCAGAAGTGGGAATCGAATGGAGGGAACTCCCCAGTTGAGTGACGGGAATGTCGACATGCGCCGGAGGAAGCCTCCTAGCAGACCCATCTGCCAGTCGTACGCGGCGCGGAACGGAGCGCTGAGCCAGTCGAACGACGGGAACCGGTGCTCGGCCGGCCTGTGTGGCCTGTGAGGCCCGTGAGGTCCGTGAGGTCTGTGAGGTCTGTGAGGTCTATTGGGTCGGCGAGGATGGTCAAACTCGTCCAGCGTATCAGTTTCGGCCGGTGCCGTGCCGTAGTCCACTTCTGTGACCGGGTCGAGGGTGTGTGCGTCTAGAGCTGCCTCGCTCACGGCGCCGAAGCCGGAGACCTGCGGTGTGTAGGTAGTCGGAAACGGCTGGACGTCTATGGGCTCGGAGGGCCGTGTCCCATCGCGACGGTTCGGCGACCCGCGTAGAGTCGGCAACTGAGAGTTGTAGGGAGGACCGTACATCTGGCTTGGTCGTTTCCTGGGAGCTCCATATGTTTGACTGGGTCTGCTTGGAGTGTTGTATGAAGAGCTTGGCTTGGAATTCGGAGCACCGTTAGACGCGCTCGACGTAGACTTCGGTGGTCCGTATGATGCTTTGGGTTTACTCTTTGGTGGTCCATAAGATGTCTTGGGTTTTGACTTCGGTGGTCCGTACGAAGCATTTGGTTTGGATTTAGGTGGCCCATACGATGCGTTTGGTTTAGACTTGGGTGGCCCATACGATGCATTTGGCTTAGACTTTGGAGGTCCATACGAAGAGTTTGGCTTCGACTTCGGTGACCCATGCGATGGTTTCGGTTTTGCTTTTGGTGGTCCATACGATGGTTTTGGTTTTGCCTTTGGTGGCCCGTATGATGGCCTTGGCTTTCGTTTGGGCTTGGGAGGCCCATACGAAGGTCTGGGCCTTCGCTTAGACTTTGGTGGTCCATATGAAGGTTGAGGCTTTCGCTTGGGTTTCGGAGCTCCGTACGAAGGCCTTGGCCTGGGTGCTCCATATGACGGTCTTGGTCTCTTGCGACGTCGATGGGGTCTGTTCCTGTTTCGCCTGACGTGTCGCTCGTACCACCAGGGCGTCCTCCATGTCGTGAGGTACTCCCAGGAGGGGAACAGTCTGCGGATCCTCCTCCTCATGCCGTTCCAGATGCGGGACATCCGGGATACTATGCCGGCCCTCGGTATGGAGCTGGCTGCGGTCTGGTCTTCGTACCTGTACTCGTTGTCTCCGGCCGACCACCCGGAGTCGGAGCTAAACGCCGAGTCGTAGTCGCCGAGCTCGAGTCCATTCACTGATTCCAGCGCGTCCTGACTGGATTCGGCCGTCAGATCAGGGTCGCCGTAGATGGGGTGCGTGTCGGCCGTCTTTGTGATGACCAGCCACTGAGAGTCGCTGGTGCCCAAGTCACCTTTCGCCGAACCACCCGGACCAGGACTGGAGCCGAGCATTGGGGTCCACTGGAGGCTGTCGGCACAGGTACTGCACGGACCCAGTGGGGATCCGTCGTCTGACGGCCCTAAAATGGTGGAGGCGGTGGCCAGCTGATCCTCCAGGAATGGTTCCGAGCCGGCCTCGTAAGGGGCCTCCAGCCCCGTCTCCGCCACACTGGTGACTTCGGTGACCTCTGTGGCCTCGGTGCTGACCTCTGTGACGTTCGGACGGCGCAGCATCTCCTCGAAAATCGTGGCGAGCGTGTCTCGAACAGCCTCCTTAAAGCCGGTCCCGTTCGTGTCATGTTTCGTGCCGGTATCAACGATGGCTGCGTCACGTGCAGTCAACGAGGTGATGTATGATGTGAGGTTATCCACACGGTGAGCCGACAAGCCGTCTTTCGGTGGTGTGTTTGGGTATCCTAAACTGTTGACCTGCCTTAGGTCATCCCCTGCCGGCCAGGGCCACCCACGCTCCGGGAGACGGTAGCCGCTGACCAGGTCGTCCTGTCCCCGCGCTGTACTCTCTCCAGCTCCGCCATCCTCTGAGATCTCCTCGTCATCCTGCCACTGTATGACCCAGTCTGGACCGGCTGACCTGTCCACGGACATGTACCGCGATGGGGACAGGGCCGAGGCCACCGTCAGCGCGGCGGCTGAGCCGGAGCCGTGGTGTAGCAGCAGATCAGACAGGGTGGCTGGACCGAACACCGTCACCTCGTAACCTGGGCTTAACGTCAGCAGCGACAGCAACAGTGGAAGAACGGCCAGCGGCGATGGCTGCAGAAGGCGCACCATCGTCGAGCTAAAAGGCGAGACAGGTGGAGGGTTTCGCCCTTAAACCACGGAGCTTCACTTTTCACTGGAATTACATACCGATTTTGGTTGCGTCACGATGTTCAAGGTGACACACAAGGCTCAACCATGGGTCCAGTTTTCGATCCGTTCTTGATTGACTCACACCACGTCAGTGCCCGTCATTCTACACCTTCCAGATAACACCGTTCAGTTCAACCTCACTCTCGGCGTCCAACTCAGGAGTCAGCACCGTCGCTGCCGGCGGCAGTGCTGCCTCGACGCGACTGGTCACGGGCCGGGTCAGGACCCCGGAAGGTCCGGCCTCCGCCCCGCCCCGGCGCCCACACTCGCTACCGCTACCACCACCAGCGGCCCGAGCAGCCATTAGTTCACCCAAACGCAGCTGGGGCGTGCAACTGGTGCGCCGGTGGCACGGGGCCACGGCACCGGACCAGTGGGACACGGCCGGCCACGGGCGGCGACGGAACCGTCACGAAACGGTCCGAGCCGGAGCGCAGCGGCACGGAATCGGTCACGGAATCGGTCACGGAACGGTTACGGAAACGGTCACGAATGGTCACCGAGCCGTCATGGAGCCGAGACGGAAACGGCGAGGAGTCGTCACGAAAGCAACGGCAAGTATACAGTTGTATATTTACACAAGCTGGACAGAGTCACAAGACAGCCTGGTGTATCGTCAACATCACGCGAACATAAGACAAAAAGTGAAATAATGAAACGACTGTTACGTTCTGAATGGCATGTCGGAGGCATGCGTGAGCATGAAAATGGTGGATCCTGGGTGACCTGGATCAACTCACAAACCTCGTGCGTGCGCTGGTCGCACGGTGCATCGAAGATAGCGCTACACCGCTCCATCATTAGAGTCCGAAGAGGCGCGCCCGAAGGAGGCCATCTGTCTCAGAGACTGTGGCCGCTCGGAGCGGATTGTCACGAGTCGTTAGACGGCGCTCGTCACTCACTAACACGCACTCCGTCACAGTGAGTGATTGAAACTCGAAGAAACTCCCCGCGGCGGCCAACAAACGGCCTGGCGCGTGTAAAACAATCACGCAGCTGGCAGCCGTCCGTGGAACATAAATTGTAGGCGAGCGCTAAACGATCTCTTCTCTAGCTTCTAAGTAGACGCGACCCACATTCATGATAAAAAATGAGCAGCAAAAGCGTTATTTTATTAAAACATATGAGAGCAATGCGACGGTAATAGCTGGCTAAATTGCTACCACCCAAATTACATTATTCATCAATCATCATCTGTCCAAAGAACGCATTGCAAATTGTACACATGTGTTATGCAGTGCACAATGCACATGGTTATAGTTGCAAATTTGAACCCGGCTAATGATAACGCACATAAAATAAATTGCATTTTCTCGCAGCTTCGATATCCTAATTCTCCGATAAACGGGGTCAGACGTCCTCCAATTTCACTCATTTCCTACCGTTGAAGTCCGGAGTGCGAATAAAACTGTTTGTAGATTTTATCATTATATATCTCTGAAACAAGATAAAGCATTGTTTAGCCGATACACTTGGTAAAAAATAACCACTGAAGGGTTTAACGGTCAAGTTCTTTAACCCGCGCCCAGATGGGGTCTGCCGAGCAACGCGGTCTGATGGGGGGGGGGGGCATTTTGGCCCCCCCCCTCAGATCTCGAGAACCACACAACATAGCGACAAGCGGTAAACGGTGTTGGATAGCCCCAACGGGGAACTTCCTTGTGACCCAATTTCATTGACCTCGGTCAAACCGATGACGTCACAGGTCAGGTCAAAGGTCGAATTTTCACCGTTTACAGGCATTTCAAGAAATGCGTTGTAAAATCGAGTAAAATGCATTTCATTGAAAATCATCGATGGAGAAATGTTCTTCAAACACATATTTTGCTATTTGAGGTCACTGATACCAGGTCAGGTCACAGAGGTCAGGTCACTGGGGGGGGGGGGGTCACAATATGAAAGTGTCGTGTGATACATGTTTTATGGTCCATTTTGCATGACAAATGCGATTATGTGGGTCAGACAGACTTTAGGGCCAGCTTAGGTCACGTTTTGGTCAAGGTCAGGTCAAGGTCAGGTCAAGGTCAGGTCAAATTAGGTCAAATTTCAAAGTTGATATTTTTGCATAAAATGGGTATCGATTCGATGCAGCTCGTCACGGGGAGTTCAATGGTGGTCTCCGTTTTGCGCTACGAGGTCTAGAATTGCAAAAAAATTGAGTTCAAAAATTTGACGTCATCAATTTGTAACAGTTTTTTCGCTATAACTTGGCCAAAAAAAGAGGTATCGATCTAAAATTTGGTATGTATATCGAAGAGCGCAGGGACTATCACATATATTCCGGTTTTTTCGAAATTCGAATTTTTTTGGAATTTTTTTGAGTTTTTCTAAAAAAATCATTTTTTTATTTTTGGGGGTCAAAATCCACAAATTTCGGAAATCCGAGATAGCAGTTTTGTAGCGCCGTCTTTTCTCTACACAACCACATAAAGAACTTTAAAATTGCTTGCTAACTGTAGAATTGGTGAGCGTTTCAAGATGTCATGTTTTTTGCTCATTTTTGCTCGAACATGACCTCAGTTTGACCTCAATAACTCCTGACCTGAGGTGACCTGTGACTTGAAATTTTGTGTGAAGGTGTCAAATTGATGCCCGGTAAGGTACCAAAAATTTGGCGGCGCTGCGCGCCGCCGTTTTCTCGCTATTTAAGAAAAACCACAGGGGGGGCCAAAATGGCCCCCCATCAGGGCGCGGGTTAATTTAGTTTATAAATGTGCCTATACGTTACTGGGTTCCCGTTTAAAATGTACCTACCTCGAAATGAAAACTGTTACTGCGCTTGCCGCATTAAATACGTTTAAAATGTGTAGAGTCGGCGCGGTTACAAAGGTTACTTGATAATCTGGAATATCAAACGTCTCTTACAATAATGATAAAATAGCCGAAAAGTGTTTTATTTATAAAATTTAGGTGCATGCATCATATATAGCGATGAGATGTTTCCATGAATTATATTGTGAACATTACACAATGCCTCATAATGTTTATAGCTAGCCTAATTGAATCACAAATGTGCTTTGCCAACCACATCGTACCGTAAGTGCGCGTGCAGGTGGTGTCCGAGCGGCCCCAGCAGAGTGCAGGCCACTCTTAAACCACACTCGGCCTCCTCTCGCTCTGCCGAGAGTCCTCGGCGGCGGCGTCCTCTCCTCTGAGGACAGCCATTCTCGGAGGACGGAGAGACAGGAGGACTGCCGTGAACAGCGAGCGACCTGCGGCACAATGCCGTAACCGGCAGTAGGTATATGTTGATCGGACGAAAGTTATATTGATCGGACTGCTTATTTGCTAATGAACATATCATATACTTATCACAAAAACATAAATATAAAATTACTAGATGTAGAATTATTATATAACAAGGATATTATACGGCAACTACTAACATTTCTGTAGGTAACAGTATAAGTAAAGTGAATCGAATGAATCGACCGATTAATCGAATCGATTATCGTACCAGCTGCGGACCATGTCCTCCAGCTCCCGCTGCCTCTCCTTCATGTGAGCCCGGAACGACCTGCGCCGTCTCCGTCTCCGTCTCCGTCTCCTTCGACGGCCCGGCGGCATGATGTTCACCTGTGGGTAGAGAGAGAGAGAGAGAAAAAAAAAAACGGTGCATGCAACATGTTCAACTTGCTGCTTTAAATACAAGTGAAGCAGAGTGTCTGCTGGAAGACCTATAATGTGCAGATTAAACGGTTGGACATTTCTTTCTTATCGTACATCAATAAACAATAATAAACGGTTATACAATAATAAACGATTGATTATCAAACGTTAAACGGTAGAATCCATAAATAATTACACGCCAAATTGATGGTTTTTCACAAAACTTCATAATTATTAAGCATGTAAGGTGCTTATCCAAAAATTCGAATGAAATTGCCTCTAATATATCATATAAAATATATTTCCAAAATATATTTGATGTAGGTACTTTGTTACTTTATTATTCGAAGGACATCCTTACCTGATTTGCGTTGTTGCTGTTCAAGTTGGCGTTCACATTATTATTGTCCAGATTGTTGTTATTATTATTGTTGTTGTTATTATTGTTATTATTGATGTTGTTATTGATATTCAACACCAGCGTCATTATGCCCACGACGAAGCTGAGATAGTTGAAGCTGTTGAATCCGGACAGAATTCCGCCTGTGTTCACACACGGTCGTTTCTTGTTGTTTTTCTTCATGTAGAGGACGGGCACGCGGCGCCGGGTCCTCGAGCGCAGCCCGAGCCTCTCTGTCGCTGTGGTGGAGTTGGTCACAGGTGCTCCGACCTGCCGAGGCTCCTGCAGCTCTCCAGGGGATGTAAGGGACCGGTCAGGGATCAGACCCTGCTCCTCCCAGACTGCAAGGTGCCGGGACAGCTCCGTTTCGAGCTGCATCTCCAAATTTGTCACTGACCCACCTACCTCAGCCACTGCTGCAGATCCACACACTGTCCACTTTGTCCACAACGCCCACAATGTCCACACTGGCCACACCGCCCACATCCCGCTGGAACTGCGGACCGACAGACCATGCATGAACCTCGATCCACCGCCGCCAATAATCGGTCACCGAATCGCTGAACGCCTCTGAGCTACACCCGACACAGCCAGCGGGCATGGCAGCCGGCTCGACTCTCAAGGAGTGCTGACAGCTCGGCTCGCCGGAGTTGCAGTCCGCTAAACTCGGCACCACGCTAACGGTGATGTTCGCAGACCGTTCTATAGACCTGGGTGTTACGAGTGGTGTGCGCCTACTCAACGGTATTTAGGCATAGCGTACCTAACCGTTCACATCCTGCAGCGATGCTGCATATACCTACCGGAGATTGACGATTGTAGTGACTCCGTTCACGAGGAGAACTGGAGAAGATGGATTCAGGATTAGGTAAGCGGAACATAGCGGCACAACGATTATGTTCTCTAGTTCACGCATGGTTAGACGGTCACCACCTGGGTCCTGGGCTGTTAGACGGATATATAGAATAAAACTAGGACAGTGAGCTCAGCGGTGACCGGACCCGTGCTAGACCGGGCTCTGCTCGGCAGGACCGGGGCTAACCTTCCCCTATGTGAGCTCCACGAAAAAAAAAAACTGCGAACTGGCCCATGAGTGACAGTGTCTCTGTAACGGAACCGAGCGATTACCCGCTGTATGGAAGGCATGGGTTCAGACTTCAGACACTATTGGGCCGGACCGTTTCAGACCGCGGGCCCGGCCCGTAAGCGAACAGGTCATGGTCTGATTCTGCCCACGACCGTGAGGACCGGGCCAGCAAGGTCTCAGTCCTCACCGATTGTAGATAACCATACCGGTCAACGGCAAAACAGACCATCTCTGACTGGGCCTTATCTGACCAATGTATCTCAATAAAAGATTGTGGCTACCGCCTACCACACCGCATACGGCACAGGAACTTCGCTAACTAAGCGTGCCCTTATCGGCCTCTCTAAACAGACACTCTAGTCTCTGGCCAATATAACCGATCATCTCTGACTTAAGCACTGTAAGTGCAAACGAAAGAGAGAAGTCGGCACGGTGAGCCTTTCTGATGATGCTCCTATTGAATCGCATAATGCTGGGGACGAGTCCAGCATTATCCGCATAATGCTGGACTGAATAGATGCGCTCTTTCTCCATATTTTATTTAGTAGCAGATACCTTCTACTCACTCTACATGTATTACGCATCTGCTACGTGCACTGGCGCAAACATTTTTGCGTGTTTCTTCATGTTGTTATCTACATTTGGTATTTAGGTTCAGGTTAGGCTTGTTATTTACAGTCTACAGGTACCATTGAGGGTTTTATAGTGTCCTGAGTAGACTATTTTAAGCATATTCATTGTCACACAAGGGTTTTATCAAGATTAGGATCCTGAGTCCCTAGACAGAGATTACCTATTACATTGATATTGATATTGATTAGGGCTTGGTGACAGTGATTGAAGCTTGAACTTGAATGTGCGATTCATCCCAATTCAAATTCCGAATTAGTAATTGGGAATAGACATTTTCTGCTATCATTTGACATTTTTAACATGTTCTAGTGCCTCCCCAGTTTTTCATAATGGTCCCATGCTGATGTGTGTATGTTTCCAGAATCTCGAACTGTGGACATCACAATCATGAGTGTCTCCACAGAACAAGAAAGCACTGACTCAGAATGTCTGGTCCTAGGCGGTGAGGATGGTCATATTATTCAGGTATGGAAAACAAACAGATAAAATGTAACCATAAAATTATTAAGTAGAACATTTCGGTTAGTATGATTTCCTATTTAATCTTCTTTTGTGAATATTGTACCAATAAGTAAACATGTTGATATTGATTGTTTAAGTACCTATCTGCAATGTGCATGTGTTGTATTGAATATCAACTGTTGTTAAGATGAATTTGCTTGATTAAAAAAAAAAAAATGCATTGTGACTGACATTTTTGGTAAATGAGTTTTATAACATCTGCTTCATGTCTTTTGATTTTCAGGTGCCAGGTTCAATCAACAAGCATTTGCGCCCCTACCAGCGGGAGGGGGTTCAGTTTCTGTACAGCAGGTACAGAGACAATGCTGGTGCCATCCTGGCTGATGACATGGGCCTTGGGAAGACCATTCAGTCCATTGCCTTCATAGCAGCCATCCTGCATAAATCAGGTTTGTGGGCTAATCCCAATGAACTCTGATATGATGTGTTGATAGATGGTAGGCAGTAGGCACTTGATCCAGAACTAGAAAACCATGTAAAAGCCCTGGCATTTTTGCATTTTTTATTTAAAACTTCAAGCTCAAGTCGTACTTCATACTTCATAGTCAACTCAATATGCATATGGTTTTTCCTTCCCACAGATATGAGTGTATAAGGTGTTTTGATGCCTAAGCTGCTTGTATAACACACCCAATATTTGTAATCATCCATGTTTCATGCAAAATGAAGCCCATGAGTCATGACTCATGACCATGACTCATGACTTTCATTTTGTCCCTGCTGTCTCCTACAGACCGCTCGGACGGCCGGAGCACGCCGCCGTTCCTGCGCAGTCTGGAGACGCTCGATGTCGCTCCGCCGCCGCCGCCACCTCGCCCGCCTCCCGTCCTCGTCATATGTCCCGCCGCAGTACTGTACAACTGGCTGTCGGAGCTCAACACATGGGGGACGTTCGATGTTGGTCTGTTCGTCAGGGACCGGAGGTGAGCGAGCGGGACTTAGGTACCAGAGCTTGGAACAAACGTGGTTGCTCACTCGTCCGTTCGTTTGTTGCTTGTTCGTTCGTTCGTTTGTTTCCCGTTTTATTTTTTTCACCGTCATTCGTTCATTTTCGTTCCTTTATGCGTTTTAATTTGATAATTATCAGTTATATATTCGTACGCTTGAGGATTCGCTCTTTCGTTCAAATGCTCTTTCATTCATTCATTCATTCATTCATTCATTCATTCATTCATTCATTCATTCATCCATTCATTTACTCATTCATTCTTGCATTCTTTCTGTCATTCATTCATTCATTCATTCATTCATACATTCAACCAATCAACCAATCAACCAATCAATCCTGTTTCAGAAAATGAATTGCTTTGATTTACCAGTCGGAGGTGCCGATTCGCCTCCTTTGTTGCTGCCATGAAGGTTCTGACGCTTTCTCAAATTGTCCCCAAGGTCCGAAGTGCTGAGGGCGTCTCGGAACCGAGCCCTGGACGTTGTGCTCAGCTCGTTTGAGGCCGCCCGGGACCACGTGACCGCGCTGAATGGTCCTGATTGGTCGGCCGTCATCGTGGACGAGGCTCACCGGCTGAAATCAGTGACGTCATTGGTGACACAAGCGCTGGGCGGCCTGGACTGCCGGCGCCGCATCGGACTCTCCGGGACAGTGGTGCAGGTGCGTCCCTTTGATGCATTTCTGACGTCTTTTTTATTGTACGCTAGCTGCGTACGAAGTTACTCTGTTTTTTTTTTTTTTTTGCGTTTTGCAGTTACCTGCTCTCTATAATTTTGTTGGTATCGATATGCTAAATGACTTCAAACTAAGTCTGTCTGTCTTCTGCCGTGAAAAGGAAAAGAAGCGTAACTCGCTTTTGACGATTTTTCAGGAGAGCGATTTTTCTGTTTTACCTTGTATTATCGTCGGTTCTTAACTAATCAAAGAAAACTTGGTGTCAAACTGTTCGCAATACTGCACTGAACCTATCAGTGTTAATATTTTTTACGTGGCATATAAGATATTGCTAGAAAATGGTGTAAGGTGTTTTTGCTTTTCACTCGATGCTCAAATTGCAGCGAGGCATGTAGGGAAGAAAAGCGTAACTACATTCACTCCAGTCCGGCAACCGTATGTGCAGCGCGCGGCTCCATAGCGAAATGCAAAAGAAGCGTAACTACGTAGTTACGCTTCTTTTGCTTGCGAGATCTTATGGTATCGGCAAATATGCGGTGTTTCAAATACGCCAGGACGAAAACGTCGTTTCTCCATTTCGGATGCCTAGATGCCTTTCAAAATAGCTCACGACTTTTCATGCTAAAACTTCATGCTTCATTCTTAACAATCGCGGCCGTCAGGTCGCCAACTTCGGTGCTGGCAGGTCAGACAGGCTGGACGGCCGCGGGGTCGCCTATACCGGTGCTAGCAGGCCGGACGGCCGTGGGGTCGCCTATACCGGTGCTAGTAGGCCGGACGGCCGTGGGGTCGCCTATACCGGTGCTAGCAGGCCGGACGGCCGTTGGGTCGCCTATACCGGTGCTAGCAGGCCGGACGGCCGTGGGGTCGCCCCTGTCGGTGCTGGCAAGTAGGGCAGGTCGAGCGGCCGCCTCCTTCGGTGCTGGCAGGTCGGGCAAGCTTGGCGGCCATATAGTCAGCTCTGCCGGTGCTGGCGGGTCGGGCGGCCGTGGGGTCGCCTCCGCCGGTGCTGCAAGGCCAAGTGGCCGTGGGGTCACCTCCAGTCCTTGGGTGCTGGCAGGTCAGGCTTCCTTGGGGTTGCCCCTGTCGGTGCTGGGAGGTCGGGCAAGCCGGGCGGCCACGTTGTCGGCTGTCGCCTATGTTGGTGCTGGGAGGTCGGGCAAGCCGGGCGGCCGTGGGGTCACCTCTGCCAATGCTGGCGGGTCAGGCGGCCGTGGGGTCGTCTTTGCCGGTGCTGGCAGGCCGGAAGGGCGTGGGCTCAACTCTGCCGGTGCTGGCAGGTCGGGCGGCCGTGGGGTCGCCTCATTTCGTGCTGGCAGGCCGGGTGGCCACGTTTTCGCCTCTGTCAGTTCTGACAGTCCGAGCGGCCGCGGGGTTTCATCTTGCTGTGCTGGCACGCCGGGCGGCCGTGGGGCCATTGGGTCGCCTAAGCCGGTGCTGGCAGGCCGGGGAGCCTTGGGGTCCCTCCTGTCGGTGCTGGCAGGTCGGGCGGCCTTGGGGTCGCCCCTGTTGGTGCTGGGAGGTCGGGCATGCCTAGCGGCCTTTGGGTCGCCTCTTCTGGTGCTGGCAGGTCGGGCAAGCCGGGCGGTCGTGGGGGTCACCTCTGCCGGTGCTGGCGGGTCGGGTGGCCGTGGGGTCGCTTTGTTTCGTGCTGGCAGGCCGGGCGGCCATGTTTTCGTCCCTGTCAGTTCTGACAGTCCGCGCAGTCGCGGGGTTTCATCTGTCTGTGCTGGCAGGCCGAACAGGCCGGACGGCCTTGGGGTAGCCTCTGCCGTAGCTGGCAGGCCGGGCAGCCGTGGGGTCGCCTCTGCCGGTGCTGGCAGGTCGGGCAGGCCGGGCGGCCACGTTGTCGCCTCTGCCGGTGCTGGCAGGCCGGACGGCCTTGGGGTAGCCTCTGCCGTAGCTGGCAGGCCGGGCAATTCGGGCGGCCGTGGGGTCGCCTCCGCCGGTGCTGCAAGACCAAGTGGCCGTGGGGTCGCCTCCTTGGGTGCTGGCAGGTCAGGCTTCCTTGGGGTTGCCCCTGTCGGTGCTGGGAGGTCGGGCAGGCCGGGCGGCCACGTTGTCGGCTGTCGCCCATGTTGGTGCTGGGAGGTCGGGAAGCCTGGCGGCCTTTGGGTCGCCTCTTCTGGTGCTGGCAGGTCGGGCAAGCCGGGCGGCCGTGGGGTCACCTCTGCCGATGCTGGCGGGTCAGGCGGCCGTGGGGTCGTCGTTGCCGGTGCTGGCAGGCCGGGAGGGCGTGGGCTCAACTCTGCCGGTGCTGGCAGGTCGGGCGGCCGTGGGGTCGCCTCATTTCGTGCTGGCAGGCCGGGTGGCCACGTTTTCGCCTCTGTCAGTTCTGACAGTCCGAGCGGCCGCGGGGTTTCATCTTGCTGTGCTGGCACGCCGGGCGGCCGTGGGGCCATTGGGTCGCCTAAGCCGGTGCTGGCAGGCCGGGGAGCCTTGGGGTCCCTCCTGTCGGTGCTGGCAGGTCGGGCGGCCTTGGGGTCGCCCCTGTTGGTGCTGGGAGGTCGGGCATGCCTAGCGGCCTTTGGGTCGCCTCTTCTGGTGCTGGCAGGTCGGGCAAGCCGGGCGGTCGTGGGGGTCACCTCTGCCGGTGCTGGCGGGTCGGGTGGCCGTGGGGTCGCTTTGTTTCGTGCTGGCAGGCCGGGCGGCCATGTTTTCGTCCCTGTCAGTTCTGACAGTCCGCGCAGTCGCGGGGTTTCATCTGTCTGTGCTGGCAGGCCGAACAGGCCGGACGGCCTTGGGGTAGCCTCTGCCGTAGCTGGCAGGCCGGGCAGCCGTGGGGTCGCCTCTGCCGGTGCTGGCAGGTCGGGCAGGCCGGGCGGCCACGTTGTCGCCTCTGCCGGTGCTGGCAGGCCGGACGGCCTTGGGGTAGCCTCTGCCGTAGCTGGCAGGCCGGGCAATTCGGGCGGCCGTGGGGTCGCCTCCGCCGGTGCTGCAAGACCAAGTGGCCGTGGGGTCGCCTCCTTGGGTGCTGGCAGGTCAGGCTTCCTTGGGGTTGCCCCTGTCGGTGCTGGGAGGTCGGGCAGGCCGGGCGGCCACGTTGTCGGCTGTCGCCCATGTTGGTGCTGGGAGGTCGGGAAGCCTGGCGGCCTTTGGGTCGCCTCTTCTGGTGCTGGCAGGTCGGGCAAGCCGGGCGGCCGTGGGGTCACCTCTGCCGATGCTGGCGGGTCAGGCGGCCGTGGGGTCGTCGTTGCCGGTGCTGGCAGGCCGGGAGGGCGTGGGCTCAACTCTGCCGGTGCTGGCAGGTCGGGCGGCCGTGGGGTCGCCTCATTTCGTGCTGGCAGGCCGGGTGGCCACGTTTTCGCCTCTGTCAGTTCTGACAGTCCGAGCGGCCGCGGGGTTTCATCTTGCTGTGCTGGCAGGCCGGGCGGCCGTGGGGCCGTTGGGTCGCCTATGCCGGTGCTGTCAGGTCGGGTAGCCTTGGGGTCACTCCTGTCGGTGCTGGCAGGTCGGGCGGTCTTGGGGTCGCCCCTGTTGGTGCTCGGAGGTCGGGCAAGCCTAGCGGCCTTTGGGTCGCCTCTTCTGGTGCTGGCAGGTCGGGCAAGCCGGGCGGTCGTGGGGGTCACCTCTGCCGGTGCTGGCGGGTCGGGTGGCCGTGGGGTCGCTTTGTTTCGTGCTGGCAGGCCGGGCGGCCATGTTTTCGTCCCTGTCAGTTCTGACAGTCCGCGCAGTCGCGGGGTTTCATCTGTCTGTGCTGGCAGGCCGAACAGGCCGGACGGCCTTGGGGTAGCCTCTGCCGTAGCTGGCAGGCCGGGCAGCCGTGGGGTCGCCTCTGCCGGTGCTGGCAGGTCGGGCAGGCCGGGCGGCCACGTCGCCTCTGCCGGTGCTGGCAGGCCGGGCAGCCGTGGGGTCACCTCTGCCGGTGCCGCAAGGCCAAGTGGCCGTGGGGTCGCCTCCTTCGGTGCTGGCAGGTCGGGCGGCCTTGGGGTCGCCCCTGTCAGTTCTGGCAGTCCTGGTGGCCGCGGGATTTCATCTGTCGGTGCTGGCAGGCCGGACAGGCCGTGCGGCCGTGGGGTCGCCTCCTTCGGTGCTGGCAGGTCAGGCTCCCTTGGGGTCGCCCCTGTCGGTGCTGGGAGGTCGGGCAGGCCGGGCGGCCACGTTGTCGGCTGTCGCCCCCGTTGGTGCTGGGAGGTCGGGAAGCCTGGCGGCCTTTGTATCGCCTCTTCTGGTGCTGGCAGGTCGGGCAAGCCGGGCGGCCGTGGGGTCACCTCTGCCGATGCTGGCGGGTCAGGCGGCCGTGGGGTCGTCTTTGCCGGTGCTGGCAGGCCGGGCGGGCGTGGGGCCGTTGGGTCGCCTATGCCGGTGCTGGCAGGTCGGGCGGCCTTGGGGTCGCTCTTGTCGGTGCTGGCAGGTCGGGCGGCCTTGGGGTCGCCCCTGTCGGTGCTGGCAGGTCAGGAGGCCTTGGGGTCTCGCCCCTGTCGGTGCTGGCAGGTCGGGCAAGCCGGGCGGCCGTGGGGTCACCTCTGCCGGTGCTGGCTGGCCGGGCGGCCATGTGGGGTTGGGTCGCCTCTCTTAATGCTGGGATGTCGAAAGGTAGGTGGGAAGATCCCGCCCCTGATCGTCCTACTTCACCAGAACTCGCTCGACTCTACTCCTGATTTCACATTTTTCTTTAGCTGCACGTGGACCTTTGGTCCGTATTTTTTTTTTTTATCGTTTCAGTCCTAAACCTCTTCAGAGACCAAGTCTGCTCCTAAAGCGCAATTTGCACACGCTTCTGATAGAGTTCACAGCGAGCATGCATCACAACAAATAAAGTAAACTATTTGATATCGCTCGTGTGGCCTTGGTCCAGGGTATGGCATGCCACCCCATACTTATCCCTACTATTTCAAGTTGGTGGTCTTGAACTTTGGTTGCTTTTATCTTACAGTTTTCCTCCATTCAAACGCCCGGATACCTACTAGAAGATATTGGTAAAACATAGAAAGGCGGCAAACGCAAGCAAGAAGGGCTTAATATATTTTTAATGCAAATTTTCCTGGCAAAATTAAACTTCTACCAAGTGTTATGCACTCACCTGAAAGGCAAAAAAGCGCAAGTGCGTAAAAGTCAGCGCGGTGATAAGCAAGAAAAGCGCAACTACTTAGTTGCGCTTTTCTTGCCTATCACATCGTCCTGACCGCTGCAGATACGCTTTTTTAATAGCTGTGTTTACGCTTTTTTTGCTTGCGGTCAGGGAGGATGAAAAACATTTACGCTTTTCTCGAAAAAGAAAATTTGATATAACTCGAAAATTATACGAATTTCGAAAAACGGTTTTGCAGAAAGATGGAGATTGCTATTCTCTACCTAATGGTATCAAAATCTCAAAATCGAAAAAATGCGAGTTACGCTTTTCTTGGTTGTCACGGCAGTCTTGAATAATGCAGTATCTGTTCTTTTCAGAATGATTTGCGCGAGTTCTGGTGTCTTCTGGACTGGGCTAACCCCGGGTGTCTCGGCACCTGTGAACAGTTCGTCAACGACTTTGTGAGGTGAGGCATCACCGTGATAATTTCCTAATAATTTCGTGGGCTTCTACCACCGGCGCCCCTCTTAGTTTTTTATCATCAATGGCTGTTTTTTTCGTGTCCTGTTATTTTGATTAGTGTTGTAGCTTGAAAAGACCGTACCACAGACAATCACAGCAAAGTGGACTTTTTCTTATCCACGTAGTGTCTGTCTGCCCCTATAGTAAATTGTACTAACGCGTCCTTCCTTCCCTGTCCCCAGGCCGATAGAGCGTGGTCGCCGGCGCGGTGCCGTGAAGCGGGACGTGGCCGAGTCCTGGCGGCGCCGGGAGCTGCTGGCCACAATGCGGCAGCGCTGGATGCTGCGGCGAACCAAGGCGCTCATTGCCGACCAACTGCCGAACAAGACCGACCAGGTACGTCAGTGTGGGGTGGAGCGGCACGGACCTGGCTAGGAGAGGGAGGAACGGAGAGGAGAGAGGACTGGGATTTTGTTTGTTCCCAGAAATGCACTATGACCCCAAAGAGTGTTTTCTGTCCCCAGATAGTTCGTGTCTTGCTCCATCCCAAAATTAGGCACCGTACCTACGCCCCCAGGCCCTGCTAATAGCATAGTGTGCTTCCAATTTGTAAAAGTTTACCGGTGCCCTCAAATACGGCAGCCTGTTCTGTGGTGTGCCATGTATTATGTCTTTAGATGCTGTCCTGTGTTCCCTCAGATACTGTACTGTCCGCCGTCGCCGCTGTAGCGACAAGTCTACAGCGCCGTCCCCCTGTCTGCAGCTGTATTCTGTTGTGTCTGAACATTGTGTCCTCTGTCCTCAGATAGTGTACTGTTGTGTCTGGATGCTGTGTCCTCTATCCTCAGATAGTGTACTGTTGTGTCTGAATGTAGTGTCCTCTGTCCTCAGATAGTGTACTGTCCGCCGTCGCCGCTGCAGCGTCAGGTCTACAGCGCCGTCCTGGACCGGCCCGATGTCCGTCTGCTGGTCCGCCGCTCCCGGCCCTGTGACTGCGGCAGCGGAAGGAGGGCGGCGCGCTGCTGCCTGAAGGTAAGGTGCTTGTGGGGTGGTAGCGTGCTTATCACCACTCTTTCACACCTACTGAAACTGTACTGTTTGACGTCGATTTAGAAGAGTGCTCACCTTTTGGCCCGCTCTGAAGATCTTTTTGTGCCATATTCTTCGTTAGTGAGAGATTTACCGATTTCATTTTACCATTGCCATGCTGGAAGTGTGTGTTTAATGTGGGTGCTACTGAAACCCGATGTAGTTTTTCTGAAAACGTAGTTTTCCGTGCCATTTCAGCACGAGTCCGGTCCGGCGGCTGGAGTAGCGCTGTCTTACATGAGCCTGCTGATGAAAGTCAGCAACCACCCGTGTCTGCTGCTGCCCAGCGGGAGCGCCTCCGCTCAGCAGAACAGGATGGCCCGTCAGGTAAGACGGGGAACGGGACAGTAGTAGTCAACCACTAACCACCCGTGTCTGCTGCTGCCCAGCGGGAGCGCCTCCGCCCAGCAGATTAGGATGGCTCGTCAGGTGAGGATATTCAGAGACATATTTGTGTGTCTATTGGGGCGCCTCCGTAAAACAGAACAAGATGGCATGACAGGTGGGAAAAGTTAGGGACGATTTTTGAGTTAGTTGCATATGTCTGCATCAAATTAGTTGGACGGCTCGGAAGAGGGATGCCGGGGCACGCTAGATGAGGAGCAGGAACTATGTGTACTCTGAATTGTAGTCTCTAATGTCTATACATATCTGTTGTTTATGCGTGTAATGTGCCTGGCTGTTCACGTCACCTGGCCATCGCTCTGTTGCAGGTCTGTCAGTCGGTGTTTGACCAGTTTCCAGAGCTGGCCCGCCTCAGCCGCTCACAGGCGTATCGTGCCCTCTCCGACCCGAAATACTGCGGCAAAATGAAGGTAATGGAATGGTACATTAGGGTCGTCGGATATTTGTGAGGAACTGATTGATGACGAGGGTATCTTCTATCCTCCTGGGTACGGTACACTCGGGGGCAGATTGATGTTCCACCACTCCCTACCCATCGGGCTCCCATGGCTCCCGCACTGGCTGCTGTCAGTGGCAGGACTGGCAGCACTGGCATTGACAGGCAGTGCTGAGCAGTGCTGAGGGCAGGCAACACCGGCAGCAGCCACTGCTGATCCATGGGAGCCCGATGGGTAGGGAGTGGTGGAACATCAATCTGCCCCCGAGTGTACCTATCAACAAACTGTACTAGTTTGCTCACATATTTATGAATTAAGTGTTTGCCGAATGCTCATTCATTTTGCGATATTTTATATTGGCAATATGATAATGAAGACTGTGTGATCACACCCTGCCTTCATTTGCAGGTGCTGACCACCTTAATTGAGCACTTCCGTCAGAAATCTCAGAAGGTGCTGATATTCTCGTATTCCACTAGAATGCTCAAGATAATTCGGGCCTACGTATTAAATCAACAGTGAGTATTTCCTGGCTCTTCTTTCAACTGATTGGTTCTTCGTCGCACTACGGAACGTTTCATTGGTTCCTTCACTTGTGCGCCTTGTTTGGTTTTAGGATACAATGCAGGCATGTTTCAAAAATGAAAGATTACCTGGCTGTGTAAGGCAAGAGCACATGTCAAGCAGTTAGCTACAATATCAAATGACCAGAGCTGCTGTTGGGTGATTGATGATTCTCTTCAGAGGTTGATCGTGAACTACCACCATTTTCGGTCTCATCAGGTCACCATCACATTCTCCTGACTAATACTGTGCCCGTTTGACCTGACCCGCACCTCTCCAGGTTTGACCTGACCTACATTGACGGCGAGACGCCTGCCTCGGAGCGGCCGGCGCTGTGCGAGCAGTTCTGCCGCCGGCCGCAGTGGGCGGTGGCGCTAGTGTCGACCCGGGCCGGCGGCCAGGGGCTGAACATTGTGGGCGCCACGGCAGTGGTGGTGGTGGACCCCAGCTGGAACCCGGCGCACGACCTGCAGGCGCAGGACAGGTGAGAGACGGGGCTAGTACGTAACCATGGAACTTCCTCACATTTTGGCGCCGAAACCCGGCTTGTATTCGTCCAGCGTTTACTCATCCCGTCACTCAGCTCTGGTCCAGTATTTGCCCCCCGGCCATGTGATTGTGTAAGTCCGACACGGGTTGCTTGCTTACAGGGCGTACCGGCTGGGTCAGACCAAGGATGTGAGTGTGTTTCGACTTGTCACAGCCGGTACGATCGAGGAGAACATCTACCTCAGGCAGGTCAGTGCCAAGGGTCCTAGAACGATCATTTTAACAATGTAGAACCAGGCTCATTTTCTGATTACTTCCTCTAGCTATTGGCTAGGGTATTTTTACCTTTAATTTTGAAAGACGTCGCATTGGAGCCCCATATTTTTGGGGAACAACGCGAAATATGCGAGTCGTTCGTTGCATTTGAGGCCTTTGTCTGCGATCGTTGGCTGCAGTGTTACTGAAATTTCTAGCCACCCACGCCTCCTGACTCTCCATCTCTTCACCTCCCCGTCCAACAGGTGTACAAGCAGCAGCTCTCCACCCTCGCCGTGGAGGGCGGTACCGGCCCGCGACTGTTCTCCGCCTCCGCCGGCCGACCGGGCCTGCAGGGGGAGCTGTTTGGGCTGCACAACTTGCTGCAGCTGCGGGCGGACGGCAGGCTGACAGAGGGGCTACTGGACTCACATAGGAGGGTGGAGAGGCTCCTTACTGCCGCCGGTGAGGGGCCGACTGAGGGAGTGAGGGGCTGCTGGACCCACAGGAGGATCGAGAGGCTACTGACGGCCGCTGGTGAGGGGCTGAGGGACGGCCTGATGGATCAGGGACAGATTGAGGCTCCAAAGAACTGCTGGACTTGGACGTAATTTCTGAGACTGGATAATTTTTTACTGCTGGCGGTGAGACACTGGGACTGAGAACTGGACTGGCCTGGACTGGCCTGAAAGGCAGTTGACGGACTGGTCGATAGAGTAATAGTTGACTGAGAGACCGATGGACAGCTGCTTGATGGACTGGCCGTGAGTTTCGTTGCTATTGTTTCGGAAAATCACCATCTGGTTATGCGCCCCTCCCCCGTATCACCACACTAGCCAGAACATCCCCCCATTCCCCACCAGCCGGTCACGAGGTGAGCGGAGCTCTCCCCGAAGTCCGGGAGGGTGTGGCCGGTCTCACCGTGAGCGACTACACGGCCGTGGCGCCCGCTGGCGGCGGGGAGGCGCCATCACCGGAGGGCGCGGAGCTGCTGCCATCTGACGACGAGGTGGATCAAACTCCGCCCGGCGGCCATCGAGAGGCTGCCGTGGGCGGGGCGGAGGTGACGGCCTCCATCGACGTGGCGCTCAGTAAGTCAATTTAACATTTTCTCATATTTTGATTCCAGCTGATGTTTGTATATTGCCGTTTATTGCCTAAGTTTGTATTTAGGAAAGAGATGTATTGCCTTCATTATAAGAATGGCGCACTAAACAGTCCACTTTAGAATGTCAGTTCACCACAACAGATTGACTTCAAGAATGAGATCAGGGTCCAATCTGATAAAATGTCGTGCTATTCTATTCACGGCATTTGGTAACATTTACGGTGATACCAGTGCTGACAAAGGGTTATCCGAGTCAACGAAATGATTCTTAGGATCGTCAACTTATAATGTACTGAAATGCGTGAAAAATTTTGCATTTGATAGCCGTTTTCTGCAGCTGAATTTCAGTCAGTGCTGCTATATCCATTCCACGGCGTTCATAAGATTGATCCCAGATCATTTCAGATCACGTAAGCTTAGTTCATAAGTGACACCTGACGTCTCTGGGCTCTGACCGCCTTCTCCCGCTGCTCCAGGGGACTGCGGCGTGCGCCACGTGCACGGTAACGCCCCACTCGTGGCCGCCAGCCGGCTGGAGGAGCACGTGGCGCGCCAGGCGACCCGTGCCGTGTATCAGCTGCACGCGGGCACCCAGGAGCCGGCCGAGAGGTGCGCCCCGCTGCCGCCCCAGGTGAGTCGAGAACTAATTGTACGGAGGGAACGGACTAACGGCGAACCCTGAGGAAGAGGGACGGACTTCAGAGGAATCGAAATGGGCTAAGGGTTGTTATGCTGTGTGGAGGTTAGTCAAGTGTTCACCAAAAGGATAACTAATCTCTTGAGTTATTGCTGGTTGTGGATGTTGCAATGGCGGATGACCGTGGATACCGAGTCCGACTAATGGCCAAATCATTCTTGCTGAACTCCATTAACACGCTTTTGTCTCCGTTTCTCTCCAGCGGAGCGGGAGCGGCCGCGGGGCCCAGCGGACGCCCCGCCAGCCTCCGCCGGTACCTCCCGGCGGCCTGCCCCGTCCGTCCGACCCGACCCCGCAGCACAGCGCGGCGATCCGGCCGTCTGGGAGCCGCAGCGGCCGCCGGCTACCCTCCGTCCTTACTGGAGAGGCCAGTCCGGCGCCGCGGGGGAGCGACGAGTCACCGGCCGGATCAGGTAGGACAAGGGGTGGTAGGAGGAGACAGGATTCGGGGAGAAGGAGAGAGGAGTCGGGGAGGAGGAGAGAAGAGTCGGGAGGGAGGCAGGGCTCAAGCCGGAGGAGGCAGGGCTCCGGCCAGCGGAGAACTCGTCGGCATCGACCCACAGTGGTGGATCAGGCTACTAGTACGGACTGGGAGGAGGCAGGGGGACTGACAGGGGCGGTAGCTGGTGACCAGAGTGGCGAGGATGCTGCTGCGCCGGCGGCGGAAGGGGCTGTGTCTGATCATGGTGCTCGAACACCTCCGACCATGGCGGCTGCCGACAGCGATGACTCGGTTGTTCTGGCCACACCGCCGCGATTAGCCACTCCGCCCCCGGTGGTGGAGATAGAAGAGGATGTCGAACACCCTGTACCCCCTCCGATCTCGGAGATCGGCCCGCGCTCACCAGAGACCGTGGTCGCCTCCAGCGGCCCCAGTACCCCCAAACGGCCGCGGACCACAGCTGCCTCAGGCGGCGGCACGGCCATGGACGCGTTCTTAGACCGGCTGCTGGAGTCTCCCGTGCGCCGCCCGCCGCCCAGCCGCCGCCCCCGCCCCCGCCCCCGCCCTATAGCCTCCGTCGTCACTGAAGACAGGCAGGAGGGTGACGTCATCAGCCGCTGGGTCCGTGATGGGAAGGTGTCCATTGTGAAATGATTGGTCAAGGCGAGACCCTGGTGAGACTGCAACTACACTTACAAATACGCCAAGTACAACACTTCTGTGTGATGTTTGGGATGGATGTGGGGTGCGGTGATGTTGTTCTGTTTGAAGGGGTGTCAGTATGTGACACGGGGTTCATGAACGGTACAATGTGGGGGATTACATGCTATCTGTGATATATTATAGATGCATGCTTTTTCTAAATTGTACAGTAGCTGTTTTCGCGTGGTGTCAGTTAAAGGTAGTGTGCCACCTTTGAAAGATTTCCCATTTTATTTTTCCTAGGATAAGAAGCTTCTGTTTTTACCTAATATCGCAAAAAAATCAAAAATGGGCCTGGAATAGTGCCTTTTTCGCCTAAAAGTTTTTCGGTTTTTAGATATGTATAACAACTGTAGTGGGCTCACCTGCAAACAGGCGTCGGGCAACAATCGCGAATGCGGCGCACTTGTGACAATAAGCAAAGGTCATTATAGTGTTACGACCATACGACGTACGGGAATGAGTTATCAGCTGTCTAATCGTAGACAACACAATGTCGAGCCTTAAACTGTAAGCCCGTATTGGTATTGTTTCTTTTATTTGGCTGTCGAACATTATTTATGGTTTGAAATATGATTTTATGTAAAATAATTGATATGAAAAAGCCGTCTTATAAGTTATGACCCCATTCCACCACACGCAAGTGGCAGAAATGACAATGATCAGCTGACGCATTTTTCTTGGCCGAAGTCAGAGCGCGCGGCCCGACGCACCACGCGTATTTGGAAATTCCGACCTCGACGAGCATCAGAAGCCACCTAACAGGCGTGTTCGAAACCGCAGGAGATGATGATGAACGGGTTTATCGAAACTTGATTGGATGAACATATCGGTAATAGCGATTTCAGTGTGTGCATTTATTGTTCATTGTGGTGTGAAATGTGGTTGGGGTACGACCGACAACCCGTCGGGGCGAATTTCGCACTGGGGTACTCAAAATTTGAAGAATTTAAGACGTTTCCATGAGTTTTGAAGGTATGGATAAGTTCTAAAAATCCGGTTCTCCTTATCTGGGCCATTAACTCCATACGGTCCAAGAAAGCTGGCACACTACCTTTAATAGTTTAGCATTTGTGCTCCGTCGACTAGAGCGTAAGTGCGCTTTTTAGCATATTCGTGCTATAGCACAATCCGTGTATGGATGTGCTGTGCTTGCTTGGTTTTGAATTCGTTATTCACTATTTGAATTCATCATTTGTGCGTAAAAGGTAGCATTTTTGGGCGTAATTGTTTCAAACAATCCAATGACGCAAAGTATGTAGCGGCTGAATTCGTATGGCAATCTGTGACTTGATGCAGGCCGTATATATTCTGTGATATGCTAAGCAGCTTTATTAACCAAATTTTGATGACATTGTCTCACGTGCGCGCTTTATTTCTGTTGTGCTTTTGTGACCTGCATGTGCCGAAATGTGATCTTCCTTGTGATGAATGTGATCGTCCTCTTATGATGCCCCTCCTCACCGAGGCGGGCACTTAAATCCTACAAAATCCGAGACATGTGACCATTGCTTTGTCTCTCGACGGAAGAAACGTGCCTTCCGCTTCATTTCAAAGTTCTCGCACAAATGTGGTAGCTGACCTGCTATTTGTAATATACCACATGCTCCACCGGCATATAACCTGTTTCGCGATGGAATCCTAGACAGAAAGGAGTATTCGGTTGACCTGAAACACTGTTTTCCATGACACATATTTATTAGGTACAATTACAGGCTAGATATAAAAGATATTGTAATCGTGGGAGAATCGTTCGACACATGCGTACAGCTGGCTTACGCAGTCCAAACAAACCGTAACAAATGAGCACAGATTGCCGGCAGAACGGAGATGGAAAGTCCAATACAGGCCCCAATGACACGCAAAACAGTCGACCTGAAAGAATGCGGAACACAACGAAAACAGTGTTCATATGGCACGCGACTTTTGATGACACCCAAGTTCGTGTTGGCGCGGCTGCGCCAAGTAAGGTCGGTTCGTTCGGCACACAGTCACTGAGCAAATGGGTCAGTCAGGAACGTCCAGTGGAGACACAGGCGGAGACAGAGACAGAGGCAGAGCGAGAGACAGAACAGCTCACATAACACGCCACTGAACAACCAAACGGCCAACACGAACACAACGAGATACAGCGACCGATCACGCGGCTCCCTCCTCCGTGCTCACTCACTCCTAGACGGGTGGCTCGGCACTGGAGGCACTTGCGCTAACGGGTGTCTGTCGACAGCGGCGGCCCGCGGCTCGACGGGCGACCGAAGGCCCTCCGCCACCGGCCAATGCTACCGATCGCCGCACATACTATGACTTATTCACATCGTGTGTACACCCACACATACACACGCACACGCACAAGCACACGGTTGGCCCACAGAAGGAAGGCGTCAGTCATCATCCATGTAACACTCACAGATAGTCAATACAAGTAAAACGTATCACAATGGCCATCTGGCCGGTAAAATATCTTCAATCACAAAGTAAAGCTTGACGCGGCGCTCGCCGAGTCGACAGCAGCGCCGCGGCGGCGCGCAGCGCAACCACACTGTCGTCCTGACGTCCATAGGTGGCAGCACCGCGGCGGCCCCACTCGCTGTACAGTCCGCGGGTATTCACAGCTCGGCTAGGGCGCGGCGGCCGATCAGCCGGGCCCCGGCCGCAGCAGCAGCAGCCCAGCTATGCTCACGGCCACAGAGACACACATTAAGTCTGCGCGGCGCACCACGCCCGTCGCTGGCGTCGACGCCGACGACGTCAGACCCTCGTTCTTGGCCACGTCGTTCGGGTGCTTCTTTTTGCCGTACTCGTCTGGAACAGGCGCAGTGCGTGTGTCAGTCACAAATTTAGAGCTCCCAAGAGCATGAGTTCCAAATTCTGGCAAATCAAGCTGCACACATCGCCTCGAAACATTGTCACACTAACACATGGGCCGTTGATTCAGTGGGTGCAGCCACTGTCATCCTACGTAACAATAATTATGGACAAGAATGAGCTCATGTACGAGGCGATTACACATACAAATGCAGATTTATCGCTCTATCATAGGTCTGAACTCTGCAGAGCCCAGATATCCAGGCTTGTCTCGGGTAATACCCATTCTGAAAATCGGCCCTAAGCCGACCCTGACATCTCTCTGAATACACCAGAGGAGGTGACATCAGCCGCCGTATAGCTCCTTCATCGCTCACTCTTTCCAGGGTCACACACATTCGCAGGGACCCAGGGCGTGGTGCCCTCTCCCTCCGTCCCTCCCTCTCTTTTCTTCTCTCCACATACCTTGTTTCTCTGTGGTGGCCTTGACGTTGATGGTCGGCACATTGTAGCCTCCCTTGTACGAGTGCCGTGGCGTGGGCCGGGCCGTGCTGCGCGGTGAGGACGCGCGCGGCGGCAGCCACGCCGGCGGCGGCAGCGTCGTCTCCGACACAGCCTCGTCAGCGGGTAACGGCGGCGGCGCCGGCGCCGGTGTCTGGAGACCCGGGCCCGGCAGCAGCGCTGGGGGAGGGAGAACGGACCGTCAGACACGCTGCTGAGACGTGCGAGGAATACGGTCGAGATGCCAAGAATAAGGAAGCAACTGGACTGTGATAACGTTATCCAAACTAACAAGATTCCTGCTCTTTATCGGAAGCAAGGCACAAAACAAGCCAAAAAGCGTAAGTTTTTAGAGTCCGATGGGTAATGAATGAACACTTGGAACCCCTCAGCTCAAACAAAGAAGCCAGCTACGGAATATCATCCTACACACCATCTTATTCAAGTCACGTCTCGTCATCCCAACAGGGTGTGATCACCGCTCTTCACTCAGCCATCCCTCCCCATTGATTCACAGAAGTCCCGATCACACGACAAACAGACACACACACAGACAGCCGACAGCCCTCTGTCTCATGAGTGAGCAGTCCACGCCAAAATCTGCATCATCCAGCCGACTCCGTAAGTACCATGCACGCGTGGCCAGCCAAATCCGATACGCGACAAACCGTATCCAGATGTTTGCATCTCCGCAAACCGCGCCGCCGTATATTGAATATCATGAATATCAACATGTGCAAATGTTGGTGTGTCTGGCCGGCCGCATCCTGCTGCTAACAATGCGCGCCGTGTTTGATGTATAGCTGAGGCGGACCGTGAGGGGTGATGATACCAGCAGTGTGTCATCAATAACATGCCACCGGGGTGCCAGCCATGTCACCGGGTGGAGGAGGCGCGCCGACCGGCGGTCATGGGACGACAACCTCGGCGGTGGCTGTGTTTGGTCACACATCTACCGTCTGTCGACTCTACGCGGTATTCCTGCAGGTTATAGAATAAAAGATTTGGTTTTTATGCACTATTTTGCTACAAACTGTTACCTAAAGCCGTGTCGTACCCTAACCTGGGATCACCAGACGCCATATTACATATAGTGCAAGTCAGCAGCTAAAACTGTGGTCTGCGAGCCAGTGCGAGATGGTGTGGAGTGGAAGCCCGGTGGGACATTCTGGCCCGCCCAAACACGCCCCAAGTCGGGAATACCGCGCGGCGCCAACTGCAGGCGAGCGGCGCCGATCGTGCCGTCAGCGGTCACCGTTTACACCAGTCGTGTCGGTTCGACACATCACCGGCCGGCCTCCGTCCCTGAGGACACCCCTTACGGGTGTTTGCACCGACGAGATTAAACTGAGATGCCATCAATCACCTGGGACCAAGGCTGAAGCTGCAGGACCATCTACCGTTACGGTTACTCTCCTACGTCAATCCCAATACCCTAGCTAGCTTTAAATCCCACCTAAGGCGAGTGCCTCTATATCCAAGCATGGGTCGCTGGTCGTCGCTCAAGCTCACCTGGGCCGCCGTGGTCGGGGATGCGGTTCTGGCTTGTCTCGTTACAGCACACCTTGAAGACCACCTTCATGTTGTGCGTCGAACACCGGCCGCCGATCCGACGCAGCATGTCGCCCCGGGCAGAGGTGGCTGGCGAGAGAACGGTTATGTCAGAAAAATGTGCGTCATACACAGTCAGAGGGGAGGAGTGAACGGGGTAGGGTAATGACATGAGTGAGTTGGTTTGGAATCTGGATACACATATACCCTGGATACACCCGGAGAATCTATCTGACGAAAGCTCAGGAGCTCGGGATAGAGTGTCAGGAAACGGTCAATCGAGCTGGACCGACGGGAGATAGACGAGACATTAAAATTAGCAATGAGACGATGACCGGGGTCTAAATGGCAAGAGCGGGTCATTAGCTGAATAAGGTAACGGTACGCGCCAGGCAGTCTGCAGGAATACTCGCGGAATCTTTCCAAAATCTCGACAACCAGCCCGGTCCGCGGTGCCAACAGCTATCACCAGGCACACGATTCCGATCAGAATGGGGTCATGCGGGTATCAACTCCCGGGCGCCCAATTCAGCCCACATGCACGCTCACATTCACTCAAAATGCATGTGGCACGCAAAAGCCGCGCTAGCATACACCAAAGTACACTCTGGGGCTCTTTGTCAGTGCCCTGCTGAGCTCAGCGGGGCTGATGGTCAGCGCTGCGAGAGCCGCCGCTGCCGCTCTCAGTCATGGCCATACCACGCCGACTAATGCGAGCCAGGCTAATACACCCGGTCCGGACCGGCTGACCGCGGTCCGGTAAGATGCACGGTGTCCACGCCAGATCAGATCACGGCCGAGAGGCAACAGGCGACATAAGTCCCCAGATGGCGGAGACCAGCCGACCGCGGACAGGGACACATGGGACAGGATGGAATGAGCGGATCCCATGGGACAGGGAAGAGCGGTATACAAAGTTGGACGGAACGGGACGGGATGGGACGGGGAGCAGACCGGATAGAATAAGAATAATAGAATAGGGCGGCGCGAGTGGAACCTGAACCGAAAATAAGACACAGGAACAAGGGGAAACTAAATAAAGTACAACAAATAAAGTAGAACGAAACAGGCACAGATGAAACACGGAGAAAGGACGATGGAGATATGGACCGATTAGGACGGGATATGAGTGATAAGACGGTACGAGATGCGATGGCGCCCGGTCAGTCCCAACTTATAGCACCACTCCGGCTGCAGGATCAGGCCGAGCGAGGCCGGTTCAGGATTTCCAGGATGTACGGACATCATATGTGAGGGTATGTCCCAGAGGATTATACCGGATTTGGATTGCAGGCATCGCAGGAATGCTCATTTAGAAACAGGAACATAGCCGCGACGGACTTGTTCAAGAGTTAGAGCTGGGCCGTGGGCGCTAATGCGGCAACATGCCAAAGCTACAGGGCCCGGCTCGGTTCAGTCCATAGTTACCATTCTTCCCGATGAAGCGAGCTTGAAAAGAGAATAGTAGTGCTTTTAGTTGGATCGCTTTTGATATAATCAGATACCTATCATCAATTAGCATAAGCCCCATGATGATTGTAATCCGACAGCCACGACTTGCCGAAATATCGGGTGTGTCCTGTCAAGGCCTAATCTCATCGAGCCGTCGTATTTGAATCAAACAGGTTTCGTTAAAAACAACAAAACAGCTGCCTGTCTGCGCGGTGGAAGATATTGCTCAGTTTATGAGGCCCACTTACAGATGAAGAAGTAGTCCTGGCCGGGCCGGAACTCTAGCCCTCCCGGCTGAGGTGTGAATGACCGGAAGGTGATGGTGAAGAACATCAGCTTGTACGGCTTGTCGCAGACAGCGATGATGCGCGGGTTCGGGTTGGTGATCCGACATGTGTCGTACTCCTCCTTCGACACCTGAAAACAGACGCGACGGTTAGGTCACAGGTCAGAGGTCACAGGCAAAATGTCACAGGTCATGGTTGGGAAAAATGCCCTCGAGGCAGACTACTAGATCAGCATTTTGGGCCTACAAATGCGTAAATGATGTAAATGTGCATGTGATGCAAACGGCCAGTGGGACGACACATAGGCAGGGGTCACAGGGAACATTCGAACAAGTCACCTGACCCAGACCAACGGCATTTAGAGCGCCGCAGAGGGTCACCTGACCTAGGTGATGGTCGGTTGGGACCACAGGCACCGCAGCCATCACTACGCAACCGCCGAAGGAAGGGTTATCGACGGGTGACCGCACCGTGGACAGTAAACGGTGGGATGAGCTCAGAGGTCAACAGCGCAGAGGCTCCTTCAACACCAAGTCCAATCTTAAACCCACCGACAAAGGAGTTGCGATAGCTCTGTTGAATTAATTAATAACGACCGTCTCCATCAAAGAGACATATATTTAGTAACATCCTTTGTCACCACCGCCCAGACGTTTTCAAACCAGTCTACCAGCTCCGCCCGAGTCGCAGCGTTCCGGCGCCATCGAGTTTGATCGGCTTATCCCGCCGGTCCTGAGTCCTGACAGCTCCCCAGTCCCATGACAGGAGCGTCTGAGCTGCGTCCTCTGAGCCACCGGGGCCGCGATTTCGCCGTGAGCTGACGACGGACCCTGAATGGGGAGCCGGCGGACCGTCACTGGCAGTTTGGGCACCACAGAGAGGAGCAGACTCGGCCGCCGACGACAGGGTCGCGGGACGACAAAGCGCGGCACACCCTCCACCTGAATGGGCGGCGTCCCTGGCGGCGACAGTCAGCCGTCTGAACGGATTAACCTGGGGAGGCTGCTGCTCTCTCTCCGGGACGGTCGCAGCTGCGGCGGCTCCGCTCTGCCCTGCTGCCGACTGTCCTCATAGGCCAGAGGGGAGGATGGCACTGTCACCGGCGGTGCCGACGAGCGGCTCTGAGCAGCGCGATCCGCCGCGACTGATGCCAACTGATGGCGGATCATGGTGGCGGCGCTGACGGCAGCACCGAGCCACGACAGTCTGGACGAGGGTCTCCATCAAACGAGCAGCCGCCGGTGACCGGTAACACGAGTGGCAACACGGGCCAGACCTGTCGTACGCTGTGGGCGATCCGATGCTGGCATTAGTGTGTGCAGTCACTGCTGGGACCGAGGCTAGGAACAAAACCAAAACCGACCCCAGGTTTGGGATAAGTGTTTGAAACGTCCACCGTCGCCGCTCAAGCGTCGTGCACTGTCTGTCGGCTGTCCGTCCATCTATCCTGCATCATATGCCCTTCGTCTGTCCGACCGTCCGTCCATCCGGCTGTCTGTGGCGAAGGATTCATCCGTTTGTCTATTCGTGTGTGGTGGTGAGGGTGCCGTCCGCCCGTCCGTCGTCCGCCACTCATCGTCTGTCCGTCTGTCTGCCCGTCGGTCGGCGGTCGGCGGTCGGCGCCGCGGCCGCAGCCGCAGCCCGTCCGGAGCCCCAGGCGGTGCCGGCCGCCGCACCAGACCAATCACTCCACCGCTCATGACGAGACGGCATGCAACGCGCGCCCACCGCCGACCGGCCCGGCCCGTCCGCTCAGCTTCGGTCCGCGAGCAAAGCTGATGGACGGTCCAAGGCACGTTAGCAAAGTGAAGATAGGAGTCGGCATCGGCAGTGCAGACAACTTCTCCGGGAGGATGCCGGTAGGCCAGAGAAACCTTGCATGCTATCCACGGGTTTGACACGGACCCATGATTCTGACCACCCTGTCTAGCTAGCCTGTCGCTTAGACAAAGCTCGACTCCAAGGGCCGTGGTTTCAGACAACCACCCTGCATGTCTCTCCACCGCCGCGTTGACCACCCATCGCCCCTGCACAGCCGTCCCGCCGCCACAATCGGCCCCCCAGCGCCCGGAGCCGTCAGGTGGTGGACGCTGTTTTCCGTTCGAGATCAATTATTGCGCCGGCGGCCTTGGCGTTAAATGCGCACGCCGGACAGCGATTGTGCTACCTCCGAAGGGCCCGCGACTGCTGAGGGTCACCGAGGCGCCGGCTGGGCCCATTGAAAAGACCTGCGAGCAGTGTGTAGCCTGAAATACCAAGCGGAAGTCCGCGGAGCTGCGTTCTAGGGTCGGGCACACTGGGTGACCAGGCATGGCGTCCAGGTGCAATGGCGAGGCACGTGATGACGCCACCGGGATCACCTATGTTGACAGCCGAAATCCCCATCACGCCGCGCCCCGACCCGACACGCCATCAGCGTGGCGTCATCGCCGGCAATAAAGGACGCGTCCCGTCGGCCGGCCATAAAGGCCGGTTCCTATCGGTGCGATATGGCAGCGCCGCTGAGCCGGGTGCAGCTCGGCCGCTCAGATAACCAGCAATAATCGCCGCGTCCGCGTCCACTGTCACGACTAATTTATGGCCCGGAACGGTGACGCAACGCGCTCTGAGGACGGTCGCAGACGGGCGTGATGCAATGGCCGTATACTGCAGTCGTGATTAGCGGATATGTATTGGCGTGTGGATGAAATGCAGACAATGCGACCTGCCGTTTCAACAACAAAATTGTGCGCGACTTTTTTCGGCATTAATAACTCAACGAATGTTCAGTTGAAAAGAGAGGCTCGTGTATCATTTAAATTTGATCATCTCCAACTCAGTCGGTTAATCGGTAGGAATTCATTAAAAACGACAGGCCGTTTGAGTGACGAACGATCAAAGCAAACCGAGCCACCGAGCTGGCTGGTGCACCATAGCTCATTTGTCAAGTAAACTACACCTGGGCATGGCCTGCACAGTGCAGAGACCAAGCCCAACACATCATCTGTACACAGCACAACAGTCGGTGGCCGGCGGACAATGCAGTTCTGCAGCTCGGTGCTGCACGCCGGACAGTGCTACATGTCCGGCCGAATTTCGCCCGGTGTGTGTCCCGTGGAATGCGGCCGTCTATTGCGCCGTTCGCCATTGACAAATGTGCACAGCCCGTTCAGCGGTACTCACGTTATATATGATGTATTTCTCCGTATCCTCTTCCTTGGTCCATTCACTGTAGCTCGGACAGATAATGGTCACCTGGTCGTACTCGAACAGGTTGTTGCCCTTGTTGACGTCGATGATGTGGTCTGTGTTGCTGATCTGGAATCTGAAAAAGGAGAGAGACAGGCCCAAGTCAGATGATGTTTGACGCCACAGAATGGCATTTCAGACAGAAAGGGTTCACTGCATGGCGAGCTTTAGTGCGGCTCTACAGGGCATTATTACAGCCAGTCTGGGCGAGTCCAACAGGGCTAGCAGCACCAGTGAACAGACGGGACTGGGACTAGAGCAGGGCCAAAGAGCACCAGACACGACCGGCCGTCAGCGCACCGGGCCGGGGCGGGGCTCGACTTCTCCGGTCACGCCGTTCCGGCCGTGGCCACGGGCACTGTCTGGCGAGGGTGGAGCGCCACACTCGCCGCCGGAGCGCCACTTTCGCCGCCGGCAGCCGCGCACGGCCCACAGGAGGAGGAAGGAGTGGAAGAGGAGGTCAGAGTGGGCCGGGCCGCCCCACAGAGAGCCGCAGGGCATGGCGAAAAACGGCGCTCTCATGATCGGAGAATACGACCGATAACGGTATCCGACCCGACCCGACGGATGCTTGCCACTTGATCACAAGTCAGCGTTACACATAGCCGTGGATAGGCTCTACGGGCACCTTCTCCCGATTACTCCCTGACAAAACCACAAATCCGCACCTCACTAAAATTCCGCTCCCACGCAGAAAAACGCGTTTTCTTGGCAAATACACGCGCACAGTCATCCCTCGCACGCAAAGGCGGCGCGGTGAATTAGACCCGCCGTGTGGCGAATTAGTCCCGAAGTGGTCCGAATTAGGTCTGCTATCAGCCGGGCGCGGGGCGCCACGTTTGCCCCGGCCCCATATTGACACAGCGCGCGGAGCGGGATAAGGGTTTCCTGCGCCGGCCGTTTGCTCGGCGCGGCGCGGTGTCGAATGGCACCGGCCGCTGGGGGCGCGCTGTTTGACAAATCGGAAGTGGATGGAAGCGGTCAAACAGGAGTGGCGCCGCCGGTCAATACGGGGTCAAACAGCCGGTCGGTCGGACGGACGGCCAGCTGGTCCCACCGGACGTCCGCCGCGCGGCGCGGGACTCGGCGGGTCGGCTCGGCCGTGCAACTATCGGCGTACTGCTGACACTGCCGGCGAGTTGATACAAAGTACCGTTCCCAAAGACCGACACAAACATGCCAAACGTCCAGTCGGCAAAGAGTAATCGGACACACGACCGCCGGTGATAGGAATTTAGGGGCCGGTAACTCTACCGACCACGGACCTCGCGCGGCGGTATATCTGCAGCGTGCCCTCTGCCAACAGTACCATGTTCCGCGCCACACGGGCCTTTGTTCGGGGCGGAGGGCGCGTCTCCGACCGGCGCCAGGTCGACGGGAACACTCTGACGATGCCAGACCGATCAGAGGTGGTCCGTGGTGAGGTACACATCGTGCTCGTCAGGTTGATCTGAGTCGGGCGCCGTGCCAGCCAACTGTCGGCGCGTCGGCACTGACCACGGCCCGCAAAACTGCTGAGACGACGGCTCGATTCAGCGCTACATACAGGCAGTGGTGCAGCGGCGAGGCAGCGCAACGCAGGGGTACACACGCACACAAACCACCGTCACGCATTCTGCGCACGGACGGAGGGGAGAACGGCGCAGGGGAGAGGAGGGGAGCCGAGTCGGCGGCGGCGGTCCCCTGTACCGGCGCGGTGAGACGGATACCCTACACCTGGCGTGTCGAGCGGCAGGCGCGTCGCACAGTCGGCAAACACGGTCCGAAATCCCACAGACCGGCGGCGGTTCAGCAGCCCAGGGGATCACTGGGGACTCGAAGATGGAACGGACGGGGTCGACCCGCACCCTGCCCTCCTTTACCACTCGCTCATCCAGTCACCCTCTCTGCCCGCGCCTCCCTCCTCCACTCTCTCCTCTCTGCGCGGCGCGCCGTTCTCGCAGATCCGTATCGTCGCCGCCGGCGGCGCCCGGCCGGCCGACCGACCCAGATGTGAGCGGCGCCATCATCTCCGTCGAACGGGAACGGACGGACCGCCGCATCGGCCGGCCGCCTGCCTCCCAGCGCACGGACGGAGGGGAGCACCGCGTCTCCCCGGCCCGACAGATCAACACATGACTGACCGACCGGTCCACTGTCAGGGTTGATGGACGAATGGGTAAAGGGACAATCCACAGGGACACAGCCCGAGGGTCGCACAATAGCAGCGTGTAAAGGCGCACGTGCCGCGTGTGTTTCAGTCCACGTGTAATCACCACTGCCTGGCGTGTTACACGTGTTGCCGCGGTTACGGCAGCAGCGGACTCGCAATTATCGCCTAGGGGAGAAGGCGACTGCAGAGGACGTGGTTACTGCTTCGCGGTCGTAGATCACAGCTGGTCTACCGCAACACTGCCAGTGCAAAATTTGCCCCCGGCTTATCCTACCTGTACCAGCACTGTCCCGGATCTACGGCATTGTCCCCTCTGACCGTTGTTGCGCTTTACTCTCTGGCTGCTGCTGACACCATAGCTCCCAAAGCGGGCTACACCAGCGCACTACAACTCACTCTTGGAAAGTGTGGCGGCACACGCGGCGCGGCGGAGCCCATTAGTGCACTGAATGGGCGGCGGCAGAGGTGGGCAGGGCGGCTGCCAATCGCGCGGCGCACGACCTCCGCAGCTGCCGCGCCGGGGCCCGGAGCCGGAGACGGCCGCCGCCGGAGCCGGGCCGGGCCGGACCCCGGGTCCTTGAGTCGGCGTGGGAAACGCGCACCGACCGGTAGATCATAAGAACTGGTTGTCGGCATGTCAACCAGACAACTCAGCAGTCAATAGATTTGATTCATTGCATTCCGCAGGATAAAGACAAAACAACTTGCAAGCTGTCCATTTTTGGCAACAAAGGTGGCCTCCCATAAAGCTCCTTTCAACATGCGCAATGAATTATGAATTACGACAAAATAATGCTCCCGCAAAAACAGCGAACAACACAAATACTGTGTAAAAACAATGCTTGACCTCCAGTCGCCAATCAGGAACCCTACCACAAAGCGCCTGCAACATCCGCCACCGCCGCCGCCGTCCACGTATCGTCGCAAACGACGAGTCGCCGTCCGCGCGTCGACCACCCGTAAACCGACACATTCCGGCTTCACAGCCGCACGCGGCGGGGCTTCTAAGCCATGGAAAATAAAAACTGCGCCGGCTCCGATGTGGAGTTGGGATTAGCGATCACGCAGTCGATACAGCGGCGGAGCAAGGCGATGGAAGGGAAAAACGGCAGCACATAACAGACGAAATAATGGCATAACTTGCACAGAATGATCAAAAGTGGCCACGCCACTGAACAGAAGATAAGGAGGATAGAGTGAGCCATTGTGCTGAGAGGTAAATACACCTAAACGGGCTGAAGAGCATGTCGGGCTTCGAAAAGCGCACTGTGAGAGTAGCTGAATAGGTAGAGGTGAGAGACAGAAGAAAAAGAAAAAGAAAGAAGAGAGAGGGAGAGAGAAGAGAAATATGTGGAGTAATAGGAAAAGGGAAAGGATATAAATTGAAACCTATCTCTCAATGAACAAAGAATGGAGAGATAACAAGAAAAAAGGAGAAACATCATTGTGTTACGTAAAGCCCTTATTCATATCCCACGCATCGGTTGGGCTGAATCGATACCTTGTTAGAAACCGGCGCCACCCGTGCGCGCGCTCACTCTCCCACCATCTGCCGGCGGCGCGGCGGTAAGACAAGATCTGCCTGCCGGGAGAGTCGGCTCGGCTCGCCCCCGGCGGCTGGCCGATCGGAGCGCGCGCGCCGGCAGCCTCCACCCTGGCCAGAGCGGCCGGCCCTCGCGCCATGCAGATCGGTCGGTGTGGGAACAATGGCCACTCTGTAATTTGGACGGACGCTCGCCGCATTGAGCGCCGCTTAGTTAATCGTTCCAGCGCCCGACGCTTGTGTAGGAGCCACGGGGCGAGCCAGAGGGTGAGCTAGAGGGAGAGCTAGAGGGAGAGTCGGCGGGAGCCGAGGCGGTCTGAGACTGTGTCGCGGAATGTCAGAACGGCCGGCCGAGCCGTTCGAGATGAGTTAGGAATGCATTACAGAGACAGCGGAGAGGTCAGCCAGACATTAGCGGGTAATGTGAGAACGGCCACATCAGTCGGAGCTGCAGACTCGCCGAGTTGAGCAGCTGCAGGCGTCGCCATTCCGTCCAAGGCCACTCAGGTGGGCTGGTCGGCTCTCCAGTTACGAAAAATGGTAACGGGACTTCGCCCTAAGCAAGAAACGTCCAGCCGAGCCCGCTAAATCGGCTTGGCGGTGACGCGAGGCCAAAACGGGGCGACACTCGGCGCTGATCCGACTAGACTATAGCCGACTCGCCGACATGAGCCGCGGCAGAAATTAGGAAATACCTTGAATAATGTACTTGTTGTTGGCCAGTCTGTTGTTCTCGTGTAACTCTCTGAATATTAACCACCACCGAAAATAAATGATCCATCTGCCCGCTGACCGGCCGAACTCAGTGAGAGTAAGGGCCTTCAAGTATCGCCGGAACCGAGTATACGACGGCGCCAGCGTGTAATCTCTGCAAAACCTCGCCGGTGGAGCCAGCCTGCATGCCTGCACATCGGTCAAATATCCGCAGCGGATGCCGATTACTCTCATGCAACAAAGCTAATGTGATGACATTTGAAGCATGCAATCGCTGCAGCGCTGTTGGCCGCTTGATGACACGAAGATGCAGCGAAAAAAGAGCCTCCCACACATTGATGGGAGAGCTAGAGTTCAATGAAAGTGAATGACCGCGGCGACTTCAGTTGGCCACAGCTCGGCAGCGGCAAATGAGACGACGGCGGACGACGTTCAGGTCCAAGGCTGGCTACAAACCGCCCGCGGCGCAGGCATCGCTCATCAGGGAACACACCATTTGGAGATGAACGATCGGCACGGCGAGCACCGAGTTATTATGGGATGGGAAGGGATGGGATGGGATGAGGCACGTGGGTTGAGAGGAACTTTGATGGGATGAGATGTGTGGGAATGACATAGAATGTAAGGTGAGATGGGGAACAGCATTGGGCAGTGTGGGTGGGAAACA